CACCATCACCGCCATGGACGATGTCTGGCTCGTCACTAACTGCAGCTCCTTCAATGGATGCGCGACCCTCAGCCCCTTAGTACAATCAAGAACTTCCCTGCGTTTGGCTGCAATTATCCAGTAAGTTTGTGATAATTCTTTTTGGTGGAAGCTTAGTTTTGAATGATTTTTGTGTGTTTTTGTGTGTCTTCTTTTTCTTGTTTTTTTATTGTTATTGTTATTCTTCTTTGTAGTTTTTATTCAAATTGTTTGGGAGAGGATAGTCATTCCGGTGGGAAAGTTTTGGGAAATATAAATTGCTTTGACTTTTTTTTTATCTGGCACGGCGAGTCTTTCTTTTATTCCTCCATCAAAAATTAATTTTCATCATCTTTGCTTCCTTGATTTTCTTTTCACTTTATTTTTTTTCTTATTACTTAAAAATCCCCCCCCCCCCTCCGTCTTGCTTTGTAAGTTACGTCCTTCGAATCTACAACTCTTGGTGTTGTCTTTAACAAGAATAAACGTATAACAAATCTATTGCCATCTCCCTTTTTTGCCTCATTTTAAGTTCTTTTGTCTAAATTTACGTCCATCTTTTACATCAACGTACGTCCTTCCTTTGCCTCAATGTACGTCCTTCTAAACCCCGTTCCTCCTTCGCTTCCAGGATCGTAAGCGTTGCACCAGCACCAAGGTCTGCAACGTCTGGCACAAGGGAGGCGTGCGTTACATGCGAACGTGCCAACAGTGCCCCGAGAAATACCCTTGGACTGGCAACACCGGAGTCAACAGCCCACTGAACGATCTTTAAACGACCTAAATTATTTCCCACCTCACGACTGTGATCTTGTGATTTCGTTCGTTCGTTCTTGTTGTTTCAGGACCATGGTCTGATAGCGTCGTTGGGAATGGCTGAAAGGAAAGAATTGTAATAAGGAAGTTTGCGAAATTGAATTGCCAATGATCTAAGTAGGTACAATGACCCCATGCTTCTGAACGAACAGAATGTGACGACACACGACTGAATGCCTATTTACGCAAGGTTAATTAGGTTAAGTACCAATGTTAAAATATTTCGAATTCATTACCATTACAGTTGGAAAGGCTCTTGTTGCCGTTAAAAAAACCTACATGTTTCACGCCCACGCAAGTATTCTCAAACACAAATACGCTTCATTTAGTTTGGTAAAGAGTGCAAACTCCTATGGAGTCCTTTTTTATTAGACCGTATTTTTTCATATTCACAAAAAAAAACTCGCATACAAAATATAAAATAGAGCTATCTACACACAACTCTTATATTTGCAAACGTGGCGTGAATCAAGTTTGATAAATTTCCTGTTATCGTGATGTTTCGGTCCCTAAACCTTGACGATATTAAAAGTGTCATTATCAGCTCATTTTAAACTGCATGACTCTAGTAATCTTCATTTTCCAACTATACAAAGGAGAATGAACCTTACTAAACTTGAGTATAGGTTAAAAAAAAAGTCTGGTATTGTCACACACAATATAGACTAAGAGATGTAGATATGTATATAGACATTTCATTTTACATGTTATAACTGTACCCTTGAGCATATGGTTGAAAAAAAGAGATGTTCTGGCTATATCAGTGCAATAAATAATAAATATTAGCTCCGCTCTACATTAGAATTTTCCCGAAATCTGACTAACCCACATCAATATTGGATTGTAGAAAGGTACAATACCCAACTGGCATTCCTTATAAATATTTGTTCATGTTGACGTATCCCCCTTTTTTTTATACACGATAGATATTTTTTTTGTCCATTATACAATTTAAAAGTTTTTTTTTCTTCTCTTTTTTAAGTATTTTTTCTTGTTTGTTCGTTTCTCTGATGTCTATTTTCTTCTTCTTCCTTGATTTGATGTGCCAAGGGAGCACTTATGTAAAAGGTCAACACGTTAAGGAAAATAGTTTGTTTCTTATGGCGTTGGTGTTGTATAGGAGGACCGATTAAACCCTCAGGGCTGAGGATTCACGCAGGCGAGACGAGAGCAACAGACGACGGAAAAGTTTTTCATAGTTCCCCCACCCTAGAGTCACGTTATGATGTGGTTTATTGCACCCATTGTCTGTATATTCGTGATCCTTAGGGTTTAACTTGAATGACTTTCCTGAGCTGAAGAAAAGTATTACTATTGTTATTTCTGTATATTTTTATTTTTATTCTCATTATCCTGTTTGTACTTTCTTGGGCTATTTAAAAAAATTCTTACACGAGGATTGTGTGAGTTATACCTCAAGAAAATGTTCATTCAGACTCGAGTAGTTAAAACATCTTTACTCGTGAACATTAAGATCATTTGTTATGCAAAAAAGAACAGTTTTCCCCTTCTCTAACTCTGACGTTTAAACAGAATGAATAAAATATTAATGATTTCTACATTAAACAAAATAAAAGAATCATATATGATAGAAGGGGCCTCTTTCTTGCTCCCGAAAATAAATGAAAAATTCAACTTATAAAATAAATAAACTTTTGTTTCTATA